GCAGTGGCGCGGCGTTGGGATTCCGGATCATTGCTCGTTAGGCCACCTTCTCAAGCGTGGCCGACCAGCTCAAGGCCTGTCGTCTTAACAAGGGCAACAGCACCTGTAGAGCTCGAGTCCGAGGAGAAGGAAGCGGCCATCCTGTCGGACATGATTGAGTGCCAGGGCAAGTCCGTCGATATTGGTGGCTACTACCACGTTGACAAGGCAGGGGTATCGACTTTATGTCTCGATCCGAAACGCTGCCGCATTCCGTTGAGTGCGTTGCGACTCGATGCTTGCTCTCCGCGGGAGCGACAGTGACCAATGTCTCTCCCCGCTGTTTGGACAAGGCCAAAGCCGATGTTGCCATGAATCCCAGTGCCACCTTCAATGGCCCCTTGGTCCGGCAATGTGGAGGTGTTGTAGCAGCTAGTTGCAAGTCTCGCAAGAGCTTCTGGAGGCTTCCAGAGGTGCCTATGACGGCTCTCCAGTTTGTCTGGATGTGTTTGTGGGTTTTTTTGTTGGTTGCTCTGCGCCTGAGGCATCATCACCCGCTTGGCTGAGGGCCCAGACGCCAGGATCTGAGGCCTTGGCACTATGTCCCTAAGACTCGAACACGCATTGAGGGGCAGCCCACTTGTCTACCAAGCAATCGCTGAAATGTCGAACTCTGTTGCGTAATGTTGATGGTGCGAGGGGGGAAAGCACAGGGGTACTTTTCTTACTCATAGCCATGTTGCACGTGCCGTGCCACACTTGGCCCCCCAAGTCAGTCCTTTCTCCTGTGCAGGCGCCTCTTCAGCTTTTTGAGCATCTTCCAGGGCTGATGCCCAGCACAGCAGCTGCGCAAGTGCGCAGCGACGCAGCGGGTCTCGGGGCGACTGTTGCTGCTCCGATCCGACCTGCATCATTTTGCGGCCTTCTGTGGGCCTCCTATAGCCTGGTTTTGGCAAGCGAAGAGCGTTGCCGAGGCCCAATTTGGTTTTCAAATCACACCCCAGGGTCTGGCAGATGCAAAGATCTCAGACGCAACGAGATGCCTGCACTTGCAGCATCTCTCAGCATTAGTTGTGCCGTCAGTCCCTTTCAAGTTCACAGTGGCACACATTTCAGCATTGAAAGAAACATCCTCTTGGCACAAGCAGTTTGCCAGCGTTCCGACCTCGGGCGCCCGCCGGCCCGGTTGATTGGAGGTCAGCCGCGGCCGTGATCATTCCGAGTACGAGAGCTCGTTCCAGTTTCCGAGAAAAGCATTCGAGCTCAAACCTCTGCGTCCTCTGGCGTCCACTGTATTGCAAACAGTTCGCGGACGAGACACTCCCGTCGTCCTGCGGCATGTCGCATGAGGTACATGGACCGGCACATCATCGCATCGGTCCAGTTCCCAGAGGGCCTTACCATGCCACGCTCGGAGACCATGTGTTTGGAGTCCCCGTGCATGAGGCTCCTTCTGTCGCGGACCTCTTGCCCGAGGCTCCGTCTCATTTTCGACAAAAGGGTGGCGAATTCACCGAATGACGCCTCTTCGCCTCAATCGCCTGCGATGTAGTTTTGGCGTAGCGGCGCAGCCTGTTTGAAGTGTTGCATGCAGATCCTTCGAGCAAGACCGTTCTTCCAGTATTTCGGATATCCCACAAGGACAGGTCCTTGCATGCACGACTGGCACAAGATTCGCAACTTCCCTCCACCAAACGCTCACAGGAGCAGGTGCCCGGATCTGAACTCCGAGCACGCCATGTCCGGAACAGAAGGTATTCAGGCTTCCGAAGGTGAAGCCAGTACTTAATCGAGCTTGTAATTTCCAGATTATGGGCTTATAGCAAAGCCTGCATAAAATCTGTAGAACACCAACGAATCCCAAGAACAAGCAAGTATTCAGTTCAGATTCCTGTCGCCTAGATGTGCAGGCTCTAAAGGATGCAGCCGGGGAGGCTTCGCTGGCAGCCGGGAGCCCCAACGACTGTGGGAGCTCAACAAGGGGAGCTTTTTTCGGTAGAGCAGTGCAGCATCCTTTCTCTGCAGCAGCAGTTTGGCACCTGCATCCAACATACGTGTGGAGGCGTTCAGGAGCATGGGACTAGCCGGCGCTTTGAAAGCCATTCTGGGGCAAGTTGGGGGTCCAAGCATCAGGCCCTCGACTGTTGGCAAGAGCAGGACACACCCAACGCGTGAGTTCCATGTAGCTATCGCAGAGCTGACTTTCCAGAGCTGCCAAGGGCCAATGTCCAGAAAGTTGTTCTGGTAGGATTACACAGGATGCTTCTGTGGCAAGCAGAAGACGACTCCACGAAGTCGCCATGCGGCGCCTCGTCGTCATTGGCTCTTGCTGGTTGGCCAGGGGGTCCGACTGCTCGTGCGCGGACACGAGGCACGAGGCGTCACTTTGTTGTCCTTTCTGGATGGGGATCTGCCGGAGGGGATTTGATGTGCAGGCGGCCACCGCCGACGGAGAGCGCCTGGCGCACCGCCCAGCGAGCGGAGGTGCGAAGAAGGGTTTCGGAAGCTTGCATCGATTCGTCTCCGCTGCACCAACACACAGCCGGCGCAGCTCTCGAGTATGGCTAGTTTTGTCTTTGTTCTACGTACGCCTCATGCAGATGTTCGGGGGTCAGTTGAATGAAGCAAGTCTGCAAGAAGATGAAAGGTGGATGAGCTGCTTGAGAAGCACTGGGATTCTTGGCCTTGTGCGGAGTTTTCATTCTGCTCTCTGTGGGTAAGAGAGAGAGAGAGAGAGGTACATGCATGTTCACTTTGAGTGCTTGTGAAACTGTGAGAACGGAGTTGCCGAAGCCGGAGCCTCAGAGTTTCACCAGGTGCAGTGCCGAAACTTTTGGGGGAACAGTCGTGTACCTTCATGCTAGCTGTCTGTGTAGGATGTTTTCCTGGGGGCACAGAACAAGTTTCGACAGCCGAACAGTGGCCAAGCAGAAAAACCTGCTAGCTGACGGCCAGAGCAGGCACCAGCCTTAGAGACGAGGCCGGGGGGATATAGTGTTCTAATTAATAAGGTGTCAACAGTTTCGGACCCACGGCCTCATCTCAATGAGGGGAACCTATCAGACCTTCTGAGACCAGTGCGCGTGCGCGCGCAGGGGGAGCGGGGGTCGTCCTGCTTCCCTTCGGCTGTGTAGAAGAAGAGATAGATGCAGCACCTGCTAGTCTTTGTACTCCTTTTTCACGGGGAGCCAACATGTCCCGACAGAGCTCATGTGTTGGTACTCAGTGTGCATGTTGTTCTATTCTACAGTGTCGAGGGATATGTCGATGTTCCCACGGTCTCCCCGTTGTCGACGTGGGCACACAGAGTTAGTTGTTGCCACTCTAGGCGATGGTTAGCCGTCGGTTTCGAGTTTGGGGGACCCTTGACAGGCCACGTCGACGTGCCAAGTGCTTAGTGAAGGGGGATAAAGGTACCCTCACGATACTCGCAGGTCCCCACATAACTGAAGTCGTTGTCCTTGCGATGTAGGTTTGCATTGTCATGCAGCCGTGTTGTTTAAACTGTTTGCCATGTTCGAAGGGGGACATGTGACAGCATTCAAACTAGGGTGTCCATGAACTGCAACTACATCGGGGTTACTTGCGTCATGTGTTGTCACAGCTTACCTTACTTTCGACATGATGCCCTGGCCCGTCCGAGTAGACCTTATCACAGTCCCTTCAAAGCCCCCTAACACATGGGGGGCCCATGTGGCCGAGGGACCTGACCAGTCCCTTATGCCCGGGGGAAGAAGAGAGAGAGAGAGAGAGAGAGCTCTAGCCCTGGCGAAAGAAAAAGAGAGAGAGAGAGAGAGAGAGAGTGGGGGGGTTGCCCCGCCGGGGCCCATGTACAGCCGAGCCTACGGGGGCGAGGCCCTTGTGAGGAGCTGTGAAAACCCTGTGGACCGCAGGTGCGCGTGCGCGCGCAAGGGGGGGGGCGCCCGCCTTCCTCCTCTGTCCTGGTAGAGAGAGAGAAAGAGAGAGAGCGAAAGAGACCTAACCAGTCCCTCATGCCCAGTGGAAGAAGGAGAGAGAGAGGTTATTCATGCCTTTCCCCTGGACATGCGAGTCTGCCTTGGTGGTGCGCGCTTTGTGAGTTCATTGTCTCCCGCGCCAGTCGGGGGCGCATACGCACGCGGTGTAGGGGGGCAACCCCTTGCACCACTACCCTGGCGAAAGAAAGACAACTCTCCACCTCTCGCAGTCAGACCGTCCATTGGGGCGAACACCGCCCATGGCCTCTTCCCTACCACTTTAAAAGGGAGGGGGGCGCCTAGGCGCGGGCTAACGCAGTTAGCCTGGACCCGACGGACGGAAGGAAGGAAGGAAGGAAGGAAGGAAGGAAGGAAGGAAGGAAGGAAAGAAGGAAGGAAGGAAGGAAGGAAGGAAGGAAGGAAGGAAGGAAGGAAGACAACTCTCCACCATAGCCCTGGCGAAATAAAGCGAGACAGCAAGAGCAATAATATATTGGGGGGGCTGGGCGGGCCGATGGCCTGAGGGTCGCAACACGACCTCTGTGCCCGGCAGAAGGAAAGAAAGAGAGACTTTGTCAGTATACCAGAGGACCCAGCAAGGGGGAGCGGTTTTTGCAGGCATATTAAGGACTTAGCCTTAGAAGGCACGGTTCGGCGGTGGGCTGACGCAACAACCGCACACCGCCTCCCCCCGCACAAGCCTTTGGAGCGAATACCGCTCAAAAAACCCCAAGCCTCTTCCCCACTGGCGGGGGCGCCTCGGCGCGGGTCTGCACGTGCAGACCTGTGCCCGTGGCAAGGAAGGAAGGACGGAAGGAGGGAGGGAGGGAAGGAAGGAAGGAAGCGAGAGGGAGAGAGAGAGAGAGAATCAGAGCATCCCAGGACTATACCCGGACAGGCAGCGAGCTGAGCAAAAGTTTCATAGGAGAATCTTTACAAGTGTCTTGTGCGACTCGACCAAGGCTACACGATCAGTATCGAGGACGATGAGCTTGTCCAGCAAGCCCAGGTGCCCCCATGCTGCAGAATCGACATCGGAAGCCTGTGCATGCCAAAGTGGCCCAGATGCGAGTCCGCAATACTTCGGACGGTGACCCGGCATCCGCGCACGTGTACGGAGAGGCGCCATCCAAGATGCAGCAAGCATGACTGGAATCCCACGGTGTCCGCTGATCCTTGTCAGCTTACTGCAAACGGGGTGCGGCAGCTCTCTGGCTTCCTCGGCCTGAACGAGGCATCCCTGTCCTCGTGGAAGCTTCTGCCGTGCCCTTGGTGGAGCTGTCCTGCAGGCCACAGAGGCCTCCTTCGTCGATTTGGGGGCTGGCGTCGGGAAGCAGCATGGCCCGAATTCTGCCAGGGTCCTGAAACGGTCTAGATTTGGCTGCTGGAACTTGGCTGGAGCACACACGTCTCTCTCGGGTGCGTGTACGCACTCCCTCCGAGGGCAGTGGTGCAGGTCTATCTGGAACACCCAAGGCCAAGGGCAGTACTGCCTTGGTGGGGTGGTGTGAACTTAATCACTTAGTCCCAAGCATGCGGCCGTTTGCATGGACAACGGGTCATGCTGCAGTCCCCGATGCAACTCCCACTGACAGACAGCAATCACTAGAAGAGTGCAGGGCCACAGAGGACAGGCTCAGATGTTGAGGCATCAGTCCAGTTGACTCATTCTATGGTCATAATTACTCCTTCTCACATCCTGAGAATGCCAAGGCTTTTGCACTAAGTAGTCTACCAATTGCAGTCACGTTCTGTTCCTGGCCGGTTGGGCTTCTGCCATACTCGAAGCGAGCCAACAGCTTCTCCGGCATCCGGGAGCCAAAACAAGCAAGACACTTGTTCCAACAGAAGCCGAAAGCGTCCTGTCCAGGGTTCGCCGCGTGCTCGGCGTGGAGCTCTCCCCGGGGCGGGCAAAGAATGGAAGGGCTGCCTGGCACCGTGAAGTCAATGCAGCTGCACTTCTTTTTTTCACAGCGAGCCCGCTCGGCTGAGCCCAGGAAGTTCTGGAGGAGCTCCGGGCTGGTGCGCTGCCCTTGCTGCGCCGACGCGCACTGCTGGGTCAGGCCCTGGAGGCCTCGAAGTGTCTGGAAGAGCCTGTCGCCATGTCTTGCAGCCGAGATGTCAAGGTTGAACCATGCTTTGTCTCACCAGGAAGGGGTGATTTCTGATCCTTCGACCTCCACCGGCGAGGTGGAGTTTGTCGAAGGTGATATGCGACCTGTCCTAGGGGAATTCGGGGAACTTACCAGGGGTGGGCTTAGGCCGTCGGAGCCATGTGCCCCATCTTGAGTGAGCCGAGGTTTCAGGTGGACCTGCGCCACGCCACACATGTCTACATGGCCTCCACCTCATGGCTCCTCGTTGCTTTGAGGTCAGAAAGGTTTTGCGAGGTTGATGGTTATGACCTTGTGCGAGGTGAGAGAATCAGACTTTTGTAGCCAGACGGTTGAGCATGTCCTTGGACCCTCTATTAATTTGCCTTTGGCCATGTTCCAGCTGACGAGGTGCCCGTCGATGTTGCGCAAGCTTGCTGACAAGTTGTTGAAGGCTGGCCCACATATCCAGCTTCCAAATTCAGTCGGCCGCCGATCTTTGCTGCGAAAACTTCACATCGGCAACCTGCATTCCTAAACCCTGACGGCTGCCCGCTCACAAACTAGGAAAAATCGATTCGAAATCCACAAATCATTACGCCTTCGGACATGATAGCCACTCAGTTCCAGGGGAACAAACTGAAAGCTGTCTAGCTCCAAGAGCAACGAGAGGCTCCACATGTCTCACGAACGAGTTTCAACAGATTCGTGGTTATTCGAAGAGTAGTCGTTTCCGAATCATGGCTGTCGACAAAAGTAAGAGAGTAGGAGGCCCTGGTCAGGAGGCGACGAACCTCCAGGCTGCGGCATCGCTGAAGCGGCTACCTGAGGCTCGGTCGAGGGTTCATGCGCTTTTCGAAGCATTCAGTCGTTTCAGGGTTGGGGGTTCAGCAACGCATGTATTTCTAGTCATGTCACAGCATGGAAACGAAAGTATGCTCTGTGCACAGTAAAGCCGAAAAGTAATAGGAATTATACGCATTCAACAATATGCCAAATCTCCACGGTCGCAGCCGTAATAGCATCACGGTTCTGGCTGGCCACCATGGAGCTGCACTCTGGTTTTTGGTTAAGTGTCGGGTTTTGCCGTGGGGGATGTGCAGATGTGCATTGACTTGTGACAGCATGTCCTGTAGCCGTTGGGGAAAAGGTCGCGGGTGCTAAGATCGCGAAACTCGCAAAGCCTTTCGCAACCCGCAAGAGTGACCAGAAAGTATCGCCAAATCTCTCGAAGGGCTTGCCTGGCTTCGAGGAGGTAGATGCCCAGCTGCAGACGTCGCTCGGTCAAGAAGATCTTTCATCCGGCCTGGGAACGCGAAACACTTTCGGAGGGTGCGCAATCGTCCATGCCGTCGCTGCAGAGACATCAGACACGGGGCTCATTCAGCACGAGTTGATCACACATGCGTCGTCATGTCTTCCAGAAGCCAGAGAGACGATCTGAAAGGTTTCGTTGTCCCTGAGCACGGGTTGAGGCACGAACTGTGCCTGCGTTGGGGTTGAGGTTCAGCTATCTTAGGCTTGTTCAGTCAGGTCCTGGACGAAACGCGACCCTGCGGGCTCTCGAGTGTGACCTCACTGCATTTGGTGAACAGAGGCAGAGTTGATTCTCTCTTTCTCACCACTGCGGGAATGCAAGTCCGCAAGCGCTCTGAGTCCAAAGTTTGTCTGCGTGAATGGGACATGACGGCTTGGTATTTGGGGGTGTTTGTCACTGTTGGTGGTAGATGCCTCCGGACTATATCCAGAAAGGCTGGCACTTGTGGTCGCCTACCTCAGCCCTGAGCGCATATCTCCTTGTGAGTTCAGTCCATGGCCAGGTACATATACCGTCCTATGCAGCAGTGCGCTGTGTCGAAGTGAGCAGAGCTGCAGCTATCAAAACAGAAGTGGTGATTGGCTCGACTGAGGGCTTCAGGCTTTTAGGAATCGCGGTTCTTGGGTGTCTTGGTGTGTTTGATGGATTCCTTGGCTGCTGCTGTGATGGGGATGCACGTGCTCCCTCCGGGCCCTGCTCATGTTGCTGGCGTCACGACGATTGCCATTTGTTAGGTCACTGCCACTTGACTCCTCCATCGATCCTGTTCCCTAGCTCACCTTTATCAACTTCCTCCAACCCAGTATCGTAGTGACGGCAGTGATTGCAAAGTGCGACAGCGCATGCCATGATAGTTCCGACGACGAATGATGCTGGATCCGTTCCCCCGCCTTCAGAGGTTCTGGCAAGCCCTGCGCAGCTCTGGCCCGGACGAGGGACTGCCACCTTTTCAGCCTCAGCCCTGGCGGCTTGCAGTATGTGGGCCGGAAGGATGTGACGCTGCTGTTGACGACAATGCGCCTTCAGCTTTCCAAAGCCGAGAGTGTGAAAGCCAGCTGTTGGAATCAAGAGCGGCTGCGGGAGAACACCGCAGACTTTCATTTGCCTCGCCTGTCGCACACACATTTGGCTTGTCATGTACTCTCCCGGACACTCTGACCATGTCTGCCTGACGTTCTCCAGCCTCTATCTCGTTCCGTAGCCTGTCACTGTTCGAGTTGCATGTAGCTTGTGTGAAGCAGGACACCTGCATAACATGCATAGGAGCATCGTGTCAACTTGCTCAAACCCGTCGGCTGTCACACATTATTCTGACAAAGAGCTTATTCTCAGACACCTGCCTCAGGCATCTTACTACGAGGGGTCGATGGACAATCTGCTTGGGCCCTGCAGTGCATCCGGCGAGGTCTAAGGATCCAGGGGGTAGAGGAAACGCAATGCCACATGCACTGGCGATACGTGTGCGCAGAGGTTTTTGTCATTCAGGTTTGGTCATGAATCGCCGCATTTTCCATAATGCTCATGATCATGAGCCATCATCATTATCATCATCATCACCACCATCATCATCAGTCATCGACATGACTGTTGTCATCAATGTCACCATCATGAGGATCATGGCCCAAATGCGGATCATGACATGATGGTTCATCACATCCCTGACATAACAACTCCTGCAAACATCTTGCGTCAGGCAGGACCCACATACGAAGTCCAGAGTGCTTTGGACAGGCGCTTTCTTCACCTTGAGCTCTGTCAGGTCTGTCGTGGCAGACTGGGTTGCGCGGAACCGGCGGCTTCGATGCAACGAACAAGGGCAAGCCGAAATGGCAAGGAGTAGTGTTAACAGGGAAGGGGGGGAGAGACAGAGAAAGAGACAGAGGGGAGAGGCAGTCCTGCCGAGAAAGTACGGGAGAGACCTTGGAATGAGGGTCGTCAGCCGAGAGAAACACTGTCAAGAGAGCAAACTCATGGCGTGAAGCCCATATTATATTAGTATGCTGTATGCTTGTTGACTGAGCCATCAATCACTAAGCAACTACTGAGCAGGTGGTCTAACATGCCGTTAGAGGTGGGGCAAGTTGTGCAGCCACGCGAACTGTTGTTGATGGTGGCTGGAGCGACAGGGTGCGCATGAGGCAAAATCTTTGCAATACATGAGCCAACCACATAAATGTGGCACAGACGCAGCATGCATGGTCGCACTCGTTCGCTCGTTGTGTCTGAAGTGACTCTTGCGACGAGGTTTCCCGGCGTCTGGGCCCTCGGCGAGGGGAACTTCTACGAGTTCACCCACTCAGACAGGCAGGGACGAAGTCCGCATCCGTTTGGCGCTGTCGTTCGAACAGGTTTTCTTGAAGTCACGGCAGTCGGGTCTTGAGGAGTTTGCGGAAACTGCCGTTTATTATCTTTCGAGCTGCGTGAAAAGTAAGAGTAGCACAGTAGCATGATAGTACTAGTAATGGTGGTGGTGGTGGTGGTGGCGGTGGCCGTGCGTGGTGATGTCAGTCGTGGTCGTCGTCGTCGTTGTCGTCGTAGCAATGGTGGTAGTAGTAGCAAGAGTAGTAATTAGTACTAGTAGTAGTAGTAGTAGTAGTAGTAGTAGTAGTAGTAGCCTCATCAGCAGCAGCAGTTGCAGTTGCTGTTGTCCCAGGAGTAGTAGGAGTAGTAGGATTAGTAGAAGGAGTAGGCGTGGTAGTGGCAGGAGTAGTCGAAGTAGTAGGAGTAGCAGGTGTCGGCACGAGTAGTTCCCTTATGCAGACACCTGAACGCACTGCTCATGGGGATCCAAGAAGGCTGCGCAAGGACGAGTGAACGTCGTTCGCGCGTCGAGAGAGAGTGGTGGTGGTAGTCGTAGTCGTAGTCGTAGTCGTAGTCGTAGTCGTAGTCGTAGTCGTAGTCGTAGTCGTAGTCGTAGTCGTAGTCGTAGTCGTAGTCGTAGTCGTAGTCGTAGTGGTAGTAGTAGTAGTAGTAGTAGTAGTAGTAGTAGTAGTGGTGGTAGTAGTAGTAGTAGTAGTAGTAGTAGTTGTTGTTGTTGTAGTAGTTGTAGTTGCAGTTGTAGTTGTTGTTGCTGTTGCTTTTGCAGTTGCTGTTGTTGTTGTTGTTGTTGTTGTTGTTGCAGTCGCACCGCGAGGACAAGTTTCACAGGATATGGAGCGCCCTCCCGCTGCGTGTGAATGAACATGTTCATGTTGTTGTTGTTGTTGTTGTTGTTGTTGTTGTTGTTGTTGGTTCTCCTATTATCGGTGAGGTAGGTCTGGAATAGGAGGGGCGCATTGCTGCATGAGATCTGCATGCTCTTTCGATGTTCATTAGAGGCGATCGCCGTGGCCATTTTGGGTCGAGGTGATCGCCTCGGATCCGTGAAGGATCTTT